AGAAAACTCAAGTTCTGGCCCCAACTCTGAGAAACTGAATGACCTTAGTCAAGTTATTTGATTTCTTTCTATAAAATTAGAGGATTGTTATGGTTCATGTCTAGATTTCCACCCCTCCCCACCCCCAGCTTAATGCAGTCAGAGGATTTTCTTGGAGGTGGCTGAATTTAGAGTGTGTGATTGATTTGTAGTGTATGGCTGGGATTAAGGGTGCTGAGATTCGGGGTGGGTGACTGCTGAAGCAGTCCACTGGCTGGGCAGGCTCTGCCCTAATCCCAGTGGCCTGGATACAATAGAAGGGACAGAAAGAGGCATGCCGCTCCTCCTTCCTTGCTTGCTTTTGCTGCCCACCATGAGCTGCTCCTCCTCTGTGATGTCCCTCCACGATGCCACCCTACCTTGGCACCAGCCCACTATGGACTGAAACCTCTACAGACTGTGAGCTAAACAAACCCTTTCTCCTTTTAACTTTGGGGGGTTGGGTATTTTTATCTCAGCAACAAGAGAAAAGTAAGACAGGGATGTACGGTCAGAGCACATTGTAAACCCTCTCAGCTTTGGAAATTTAAAGGCCTATAATTATTATATTATTATCAGTACATTTTACAATTTTTTTTAGGACAGGGTCTTGCTATGTAATTCAGACTGGTGTTGAGCTCGCCAGGCAACCCAGGCTGACTCCAACTCATGGTGGTCCTCCTGCCTCAGCCTTCGGAGTGCTAGGGGTATAGATGTACGCCACTGCGCCAGGCTACAATACTGTTACTTTAGTAGATCATAGGAGAATGGAAAGTTGAACAAGATAAACTTTCTTTACATTTGGTATCTATTTCTAGAATAAAAAAAAAAAAAAAAAAAAACCACCAAAACCTAGAGGCTAGGGATGTAGCTCAGTGGTAGGGAACCTGCCTAGCCTGCGTGAGGCCCAGAACTGCATCTTCAATGCCACAAGAACAACCCTAAGGAAACCTTTTCATAAATCTGAAATCGCTAGAGATCATGAAGCTTTTTGGTAGTAATCAAAATAATATTTAATCATGAGACCTTGCTTTGTATGTAGGAGAATTTCAATTATGTGTTATAATTTCCAAGCACCAGTTTTTTTCTTTAGTTTTTCATTGGTACATTTTTAAATTTTTATTTTGTTTTTATTATTGTTTTTTGGCCAGCTCAGCCCAGCCCAGAGGGCTGGCTGGTGCAGCATATGGTGTCAGGGAATCGAAAAAGGTAGAGGGGATTGAACTCAGGACCCTGCGCTTGCCAGGCAAATGCATATTCTACTGAGCTATCTCTCCCCTGGCCCCCTATTGGTGCATTTTAAGCACACACTGATGACATTCACCGTGGCGCTGGGTACCAGGGGTTGCCCTGCTTTTCCTATTCCTCTCCTCTCCCCTCCCTTCAGTGCCTCTTTCCTTCCTTATTTACAAAAGCTTTCTTTCCATTTTCCCTCCTACTCTTTTTTCTTATCCCTTTCTTCCTTTCCTCCTCCCCTCTTCCCGTTTCCCTTCTCATTTGAATGTTTTCTTCCCATTTCTCAATATATATATATTTTTAATTTTATTTATTTATGTGTGTGTGTGTGTGTGTGGCCAGCTCAGCCCACCAGGGGGCGGGGCTGGCAGGCATGTGGTGCTGGGGGATCGAACCGTGGTTCCTGTGCTTTGCTAAGCTTGTTCTAAGTCGGTGCTTTAGACCACTGAGCCATCTCACCAGCTCCATTTCTCAATATATTTCACACACTTTGGTCCTTATTTACACTTTCTGTTGATTTCTTTCTTTTAAAAAAAATGTATTTGGTACAGGGCCTAACTACACAGTTCACACTTGTACTGTTCCTCTTTTGTTTTCAGCCTGCCAAATGCTGGGATTACAAGTGTGCAGCACCCCACCTAGTCCAGGGGCAGGGCTGGCCCCAGAAATATTTTTGCTACTCTGTCTTTTCTGGTTCTAAATAAATTTTAGGATTGTTTTCTGTAATTCTGTGAAAAGCTGTTCGATTTTTGTTGTTGTTCTTGATTGTGGGATTGAATTTGGGACCTTGCACTTGACAGGCAGGTGCTTATGCTGCTGAGCTATATCTCTGGCCCAAATTATTGGAATTTTGAGCAGGAGTACATTAAACTTTCAGAAATGTGGTTCTCTCTACCCACAAAAAGGGTATCTATTTTATGATACCCTCTTCTATCTTCCTCCTTTCTCAAGAGTACTGTAGTTTTCAGTGTGCACGTCTTTTACTTCCTTTTAGATTGATTCTTAGGTTCATTTTTTTGGATTCTAGTGTAAATGTTGTGGTTTCCTTCATTTTTCTCTGTGTTTATTTGTGTACTACTGATTTTTGAGTGTGGACTTTATATCCACTACTGAGAAGGATTTTTTTTTTTTTTGGGGGGGTTGGCTCAGGCTGCCTTAAGGGCAGGTCTGGGGATTGAACCCTGGTATCCTGTGCCTGATTGCGTTTGCATAAGCAGGTGCTTAAGCAACTGAGCTAACTGGCAGTCCCCCTGCCCCAGCTATACTACTGAATTTGGTTATTTAATCTAGAAGTCTTCTGGTGGAGTTTTTGGGATCTTCTATGTAGAATATCATGTCATCCACAAATAATAAAGATTGGGGGCTGGCGGAGTAGCTCAGTGGAATAAGTGCTTGCCTGGCAAGCACAAGATCCTGAGTTCGATCAATGGTGCCACCAAAAAAAAAAAAAGAAGGAAAGTCTTCCAAAGTTTTGGGGCCGGGGAGATGGCTCAGTAGAATAAGCACTTGCCTGGCAAGCGTAAAGGCCTGCCTGAGTTCAATCCTCGGTTCTGCAAAATAAATAAATTAAAAAACCCAAATAATAATGATTTATATACTTCTTTCCTATCTTTATTCCTTTTTTTTGGTCCGGAGGATTGAACTCAGGACCTTGTGCTTGCCAGGGAGGCACTTATGCTGCTGTGCTATCTCCCCAGCTTTATTCCTTTTATTGCTTTTGTGGTCGAATTGTTCTGGTTTATGTTTCCAGAACTATATTGAACAGGAGTATGGCAGTGATTTGTGTATTTTGAATTATTTTTTAATCCTTTATTTGTACAGGGTCTCACTATGCAGCACAGGCTCTCAGTGATCTTCCTGTCTCAGCCTCCCCAGTGCTGGGAGTACAGGCATGCACCACCACATCTGGTTCTGGGCCGGCACAGCATGGAGTACCAGAGATTGAACCCAGGCTCTTGCACTTGCCAGGCAGTCACTTAGACCGCTAAACTATCTCCTCAGCCCTGGTTTGTGTATTTTGAACCATCCTTGCATCTCTGGGATGACGCCTACATGGTGATGGTATATAATCTTCTTGATAATTTGCTGCATTCTTTTGCCAGTATTTTATTGAGGAGTTTTGTGTCTATATTTATTAGGGAGATTGGCCTGTTGGTCTCTTTTTTTCACTGGATCCTTTTCTGGTTTTGGTATCATGGTAATGCTTGCTTCCAGGAATGAATTTGGCAATGTTTTCCTTTCCATTTCATTAAAGATTTTGGGAAGTTGTGGTATTAGGTTTTCTCTAAATTTCTTTTTTTTCGAGATAGGATTTTACTAGTTCAGGCTAGCTTTGAACTCGCTATGTATTAGGAGTAGGTGTATGTATATAGCCAGACTGGCCTCAAACTGTGGCAATCCTCCTGCCTCAGCCTCCCCAGTGTTGGGATTATAGGTAGTTGCCACCATGCCCAGCAAGACCCAGTTTTTGAGGTTGTATTTTAAAGGAGTGATGGAGGGGGAATGCAAACCTTTTTGTTTTGAAAAACATTATAGGGCGAGAAGGCATTTCATGGTTTTTTTTTATTGAAATATTTCCTGAAAGCATATACACAAGGAAATAAAATGTAAAACATGTACTTGAGGTATACTGAGGTATACCCCAGTGGCGAAGTGCCTGCCTGGCAAGCACAAGGACCTGGGTTCGATCCCTGGTGGTGAAACCAAAAAAACAAACATGTACTTGAAGGCCAGGCATGGTGGTACACTAGTAATTCCAGGACTGGGGAGGCTGATGCAGGAGGCTTGCCCTGAGTATGAAGCCAAGACCACATAGTGAGGTCAAGGCCAGCCTGAGCTACAGAGCAAGACCCTGTTTCAAAAAACCTAAAAAACAAACAAAAGGCTGTGCATGGTCGCCAAAACCATAAAAGTACTTGAGTTTGAGATACTATGAAAATGCTGAAGGCGGCAGGTAAATGCTGCCGGGTTAGTAACAGCCCTCTGCCCACATCTCAAAAAAAGTACCTAGGAACCTGTGGATTGATTGATTCATTTTGTGAATTTCCCCTCTCCGAGGATTGTGAAAAGCTATCCTTTATCAGATTGAAGGAAGTAGGGGTTTTCTATGTTGCTTAGGCTGATCTTGAACTCACGCTCTTCCTGTCTCAGGTAAAAAACAGCTAGGACACAATGTGTGCCACCACCCAGAGTGTAAGATAAAATTCAACTGCAGAATACACCTAGTTGATTGTTTCCAAGAGGAGTTTGACGCCTTCCAAGGGCTCACAGGTACAGTGATTAGTCTCTTTACTTTTGGGTGGTGGTGACAACTAGGAATGCCTCTAAGGCCCCATTTCCCTACCCTGTCAGGTGGCCGGGATCGCTGGCTGTGGTCCTTCCATGGCTTTCTTTCTTTTGCTATGTGTTGGGTTGGGTTTTGAGACAGGCTCTCCCGTCCAGGCTGGCCTTGTAATCACAAGGAAGCATAGGCGTATTTATAAATCCTAGAATTATTTACTTATAATCTTGGCGAGTAACAGAAGGCTTGATTGTTTGAGGGTAGCGCTAATCTGGTTTTGCTTGTTTTGAGACAGGGTCTTCCTGTCCCTGCCTCTTGAGGGAGTCCTGGGATTACAGGTGTGCGCCACCGTGGCCGGCTGTTTTTTTTTTTTTTGCAGAACCGGGGATTGAACTCAGACCCTTGAGCCATTTCCCCGACCCCCTGTTTTTTATTTTTTGAGGCAGTGTCTCACTATGTAGCTCAGGCTGGCCTTGTGTGACGCTTCTTCAGCTTCCTTCGTGCTGGAGTCACAGGTGCGCGCCACCACGTGGCCCCTTGATCTGTTAAGGATCCCCTTCCTGTACCTAGTGTTTGTCAATTTTAAAAACTTTGTTCAACTGAGAAAAATTGCTGAAACCTTGTTTTTTTAAAAAACAGGATGCAGTTTAAAAACAACAGGTATTAGTTTCCAAATGTGAACTTCATAGTTTAATGCATTCCACAAACCCTCTCACTCGTTCGCGACTCCTCTCCCACTGCGAATCAGTGACGTCCCCAGGACTGCTTCCCGCTCGAGTCGGGGCGCCCTCGGGGCTGCGGGGAAAGCGATGCTCGGGAGGAGAACGCGAGCCCGCGCCGCCCTGGACCCGCGCCGCCGGCCCTCCGCGGACGCACCGGGAGCGGCGCCAGGAGCCGGGACCGGTCAGCCCGACCAGGGAAGTGGCCCGAACGCCTCGGGGGAGCGACTCGCCAGTGTCGCAGCGGCGCGAGCACGCGTCAGGCTATTCGGGAATAAACGCCCGCGGGGCGGCGTAGTGCGCGCGCCATCTCGCAGCCCAGGCCGGGCAGCCCGCGCAGGGCAGTGGGCGCACGCGGGGCCGGCCTCCGGGACG